CATCCACATGTCTCCTGCTGCTGATTTCCCCTAGCAACGAGGGTCCCAGTAGGCACATATCTCGGACGTAGCTAGTCTGAACGTGTCCCTCTCTGCAGCCAATGGTGCAACGGGCATTTTGGAAAGGGGTGTGTTGGAGGTAAGAAGGCAAGGGGCCAAAGCACACTCAGACTATCCCTGGCCCATGTGTGTTCTCAGGGGTCAGTTGGTAGCTGGTACAAGTTAGAACAGTCCCCAAGCAACTTGTTATTGCTTCTCCTCTTTTTCCCCTTTACTCAGCTGCCTAGGATAGCTGTATGGGGAAGAGGTACTTTGCTAGTCACTCCTCTAGGGTGACCAGATATCCCGATTTTATAGGGACAAGTTCCAATATTTGGGGCTTTTTCTTATATAGGTGCCAATTACCCCCCACCCACGTCCCAATTTTCACACTTACTATCTGGTCACCCTACTAGGCTCAGGCAGAGGCAGTCAGTTCTTGTCTCTCTCTCCCTTGGGTGCCTACAGCCCAGCAAAGAATCAGGAACCAGAGCAGCCAGAATAGCCTTAGGTTATGGGTAGGGATTGCTTTTCAATTCATAGTCAAATATACCTTTTCTTCTTCACACAGTCAGCTTTGAGGGTTACAAGTGGTTGCTGGGCCACAACTTGGACACCTCTGTAATTCATATGATAAAATTTCAGGAATGTCACTGTGTGTGTGTCTCTGAAGCCTACAATATCTGTAGAGTCACCTGATCTGGTCCAGGGGCCCTGTGCTTAACCTGTCCACAGGGACCAGCTACCCTGTGACAGTTAGTATCCAAGATACAGTTTTAAATACATCTCTACCCCGATATAATGCAGCCCGATATAACACTAATTCGGATATAACACAGTAAAGCAGTGCTCCAGGGGGGCGGGACTGCGCACTCCGGCAGATCAAAGCAAGTTCAATATAACGCGGTTTCACCTATAACGCGGTAAGATTTTTTTGGCTCCCGAGGACAGCGTTATATCGGGGTAGAGGTGTATGTCATGAAATGAGCAACGGTCCTGTAAAGCTGCTACTGAGCTCTCTATCAAGTCGTGTTAACACTCAAGGAGTTAGTTTCCAAAAGAGCGGTAGAGGTATTGGTATAATTTTTGCTATTGCACTTCATCAGATAGAAGTTGCTTTTTAAGCAGAACTATTAAGCGGTGCTTTGTATCTTTAAAAATTAAATAATAAAAAGTCAGAGGCAAAAGAGGCAGGATTCCAGAGGCAGGATGACCATAGTGGCTGGCTACAATCATAGGTGCTGAAACTAGGGGGCTGGGGGGTGCTGCTGCACCCCCTGGCTTGAAGTGATTTCCTTATATACAGGGTTTACAGTTTGGTTCAATAGCTCTCAGCACCCCCGCTATAGAAATTGTTCCAGCACCCCTGGCTACAAGTGAGTCAAGTGTGCCACTACCACAGCATTTAACTGCCCCTCTCAAAAGCAGCAGCGTATTATCGCCTAGGCCAACAAGGCCTAGGCCTAGGGCGGCAAATTTGCTCTTGCCCCCTCCCCAACTCCGCCCCTTCCCCAAATCCCTGGCCCGCCTCCTGCCCCAGGCGCGCCGCGCTTCACTCCTTCCACCTCCCTCCCAGGTTTGCCGCGCTGGGAGGGAGGGAGAAGCGAATTGCAGCGCGCTCGGAGGAGGCAGAGCAGAGGTGAGCTAGGGCCCGCGGGCGCGGGGAGTAACAGGAGGCCGGGAACCGCTCCCCGGCCCGCCCCAGCTCACCTCTACTCCACTGCTGCCGCCATCCCCCAAGCGCGCCGCAACTCCCCTTCTCCCCCCTCCCTCCCAGGCTTGCCGCGCGAAAGCGCTGGGAGGGAGGAGAAGCGAGTAGCGGCGCGCTCGGGGGCTAGCGGAGGTGAGCTGGGGCCGGCGGGCACGGGGAGTAACTCTTGGGGGGGGGGGCAGGGAACCACTCCCTGCCCCAGCTCACCCCTGCTCCACTGCCGCCATCCCCCGAGCGCGCCACAACTCCCTTTCTCCCCCCTCCCTCCCCGGCTTGCCACGGGGGAGCGGAGGTGAGCTGGCGGGGGGAGGGGACGGCAAATTTGTTAATCCGCCCCTGCTCAGAAGATGTGTCCCACTGTGAAGATTTGAGAAAGGGGGAGCTGAACATCTAAAACATCTATTATGAAACCAATAAACTGTGAAGGTGCAAGTGGTGGCATCAGGTGGTGTCTGAATGGAAGACAAACTGAATATATTACAATAGAGAGAGAAAAGTCGAGCTTGTCCTTAATACTGTCTTGCAAAAACAGAAATAAACCAGTTTGAAAGATACCCATTTCCATATGGGACTTCACTTAAGCTGCTTTTCTAACTCCCTCCCCCAAAATCCATGTAACTGGTAGATGAATGTAATGGTTAGGTTGAAAGGGGGGAGGGATAGCCTGCTAAACCCAGGGTTGTGAGTTCAATCCTTGAGGGTGCCACTTAGGGATCTGGGGCAAAATCAGTACTTGGTCCTGCTAGTGAAGGCAGGGGGCTGGACTCGATGACCTTTCAAGGTCCCTTCCAGTTCTAGGAGATAGGATATCTCTATTTATTAAAAAAAAAAAAAGAATAGCAGTGCAGTGGTTTCTATGAAAGGCCACATGAAGCAGGCCTCTTTGTTGCCAATGCAGATGTGTCAATATTTTATAAACCACAGACTTGTTAATATCAACTGAAAAATCATAGTAGCCACAAGCTGGCTGAAAAGCAAGAGAGCACCTCGTGCTCCTAGAAGGAATGGCTATTGATGGATGGGAATGACTATCGATCCACAGAGATGTCCTCCTATGGTAATCAAATGCCCCTTGATCTACTGTAAACATTTATGAACACCAAGCGTTAGGGTTTTAAATTAGCGGTTTCCTGGTCTGTGTTGAAGTGCAATTGAGCCGTCCCTTAAGAAATACATAGGTCTTGCATGTTTTAGGTGTTTGTAAGTCTACTTGAAGTGCTTTAACTTATCACTGTTATATTAGTACCAAAAATATTCTGTACAAGGCAGGTGACAGGTTGTTATTTCACAGCCCATAGAAACAGGAGTTGCTAAAAACAATAACTCGTTATTTCCAATTTTATCTCTCCCAAAGCTATCCAGTGGCTCTTTAAATTAAGCTATTCAAATGCGTATTTAATTTTGAAAAGACTGGTTTGGGTTGTTAAGCATGTACCAACTGGCTATTGAATTCATGTAGTATTACCAAGTTAATTTAGTAATCGATCTACAGTACATTTATTGCATATTGTACAATAACTTTTAATCCTGAATGACTGTTTTAATTGAAATTTAATGAGACAATTATGGTCTGATAATGAAATAATTGATTATTAAAGACACATTTATTGATGCTCACCAAAACTATTGTATGTGGTGTTTGTATGCTTCTACTACTGCAAGCAAGCTTCAGTATATTTATTTGTAATAATAAGCATTAACAGGCAATAACAGTCTGATTACACAATATCAAATTTGTATTTGAGAGCATTAATTTTAAAGGCATTGCCAGCTATCCTAATACTATAGATATTTTTCATCTTCTCTTGCAAATGGATTGTGTGTATGTAGTATTTTTAAAGAAAGTTATTTTAAAATAGCTATACACTGTTATAACATGCAAAAATAGTGGTGTGGGAAAATCATGCCACTGATTTGTGCAAACGAATTTCCTTATCCAAATTGCTGCTTATCTCATCAGTATCATTTCCAAAAGGAGGCGAGGATAAAGCCAGGAAAAGACATTATAAGTATATGTTAATTGATTGATCAGCCACCAACTGCTGACTTCATTAACTATGGTATTAATTGCAATTTTCACAACTGACAGCCTTTCAAAAAGGATGTGGGGAAATGCACAAACTAAACAAACTATTAGTAATCACCTACCCCATAGTGTTTTTACAATAACTAGTTCTGATCCCTTTGTTTACATAAAGAACATAAAGGTGCCCATTTAAACGCAAAAGAAATAATATCTGAAAACATGCTCCACCCAGCTGGCACACACAAATCTGTGAGCCAGGAATTCTGAGTCTCTAGTCTTGGCTTTGACACTGACTCTCTCTCTCTCTCTCTCTCTCTCTCTCTGCTTTAATTAGCTCACTTAGGGGCAAATTTTCAAATTTTATGTAGGTCTCTAAAGATGCAGGTGGGTGCCTAGTGGGATTTTCAAAAGTGCTTGAGCAGGTGCCTAACCTGCTTGGGTGCTTTTAAAGATCACATTAGGAGCTTATGTATATTTAAGTGCCTAAATACCTTGGACAATATGGCCCTTAACATCTCTGTATCTCATTTTCACAATCTGCAAAATCTACCTCATAGGGTATTGCAGGGATAAACTAGTTAATATTTGTAAAAGGTGAAAAGCTAAATAAAAATACTGACCGTGGGCTGGACTCTGCTCTCATTTACAATCATTCTACATTGGTATAACTACTGATTTTAATTGACTTATCCTGATTTGCATTAGTATGAGAGAGAGGATAATCAGGCCTGAAAACATTCCACTAATTCATTCTCCAGTATTTAGTCAGAAGTAAAAACAGAACCTTTGTATATTGGAGCTGACTTACCTAGGATACATGCTTTGTCTGAGTAACACAAATGGAACGCTTTTGTCTTATTAGATGTTTTTTGTAACGATGTAGTCTGTCTTCTGTTTATATAGTGCCAATGATCTTTAAATTAAACACAGTATTTGAGAATAGCATAAAAAAAATTAATCCAAAGTACTCTTGCTGTCTTTCATTTCAGCCTTGGGTATATTTGGAGAATGTTTTCAATGTGATTTCCCCACCATCTCTTCCTATCACAACTGCTTCATTTCTTCAACTTCTGGTTTTGCGAGTAGTGTTACATGGGGAGGATGGACTTGCAATGGGCTCTGAAAACCTCCAGAGTTATCCATCATCCCTGTATCCTCCTACATATGTGCGTTCAACCTGCCTTAACACATACTCTCCTGTTTTAACAGACACTTTCTTTTCAGGTCGACTGAACTGGTGGTCCACAGTGTGTACAAGTTGCAAACGTCTTCTTCCATTGGCTACAACAGGTGATGGAAACTGCCTCTTACATGCTGCCTCATTAGGTAAGGGAAAGTCTGGATTAGCTGCTTCTGGTATATAAAACCTTTTATTGAAGGTTTGCTACTTTTCTGTATTTCCATCAAAGGTTTATGGGTGCAAAGGCCTTTTGCTAAAAGGGTGCCTCTTTGGGTACATCCACTCTGCAAATAAAACCCTGCAGCAGCTAGTCTCAGAGTCTAGGTTGACTGACTTGGGCTCACGCTATGGGGCTAAAAATAGCAGTATAGACGTCCCGCTTGGGCTGAAGCCCGGACTCTGAAATCCAGCAAGTAGGGAAGGTCTCTTTTTAGCCCCATCATATGAGGCCCCCAGCCTGAGTCAGTTGACCTGGACTCTTGAGACTCTCTCATTGTTTTTTTTCTTTGTTTGTTTCTGGAGGGGGGTTTTGCAGTGTAAACATACCTTTATATAAGCTTCTCTATTCTTCAGCTTCTCCCTGTAGCAATGTTTGCAATAAGTATCTATCTATACAGCTTGCATGATGAAGGTAGAAGTTTTCAGCTTGCTTTCTAAGGTGGAGTTGAAACAGCAAGATAAACCCTAGCCTCTAAGCTAGTGTACATTTTCTATAATCGGCCTGATCCTGCAGTCCTGGTGCAGGCAAAACTCCTGTTGGCTTCAATGGGATTTTGGCTGCATCATAAACACAGGTTCAAGCCCATAATCCTCTGATGTTTGTTAAATGTGCATCCTACTATCATTAAGAATACAAATGCAAATATTTTTGGTGTGTCCAGCCTTTGGGAAGGATAATTGTATGGGTGAGAGAGATTAAGGTAAATTATACTCTTTCCTATGTATTTACCATTGATTTAAAGCAATGTTTTGTACAACTGCAAAGTTTTGTACAAAGGGCACCAAAAGAAAGCCCTGCGACTACATACTTGAAAGTGTAATATGCTGTTTATTTCCTAATAATCACTTTTGTGCTGAAATATTGCACCAGTAAGACTCCAAAAAGTGACCTTTCTCTTAAAAGCATGGTTATTTTGTAATCATTTTGCGTCACTTTGTTTTTGAAACATAAAGTAAGAAATAACAAGAAAACAGATTTGAATACTCTCAAAGTATCTTTTATAAATAGTGTTGTTTATCCAATTCATCTCAGCTACAAGGGATTGTAAATTATTTACAGCAATTGGTCAGGGCATTTTGACTTGCACACTTTGGAACAAAAATATTTAATGCCAATGGCTGGCAGTATAATAAATTAAACATGGCTGCCTACGGGTGCTTGTCATGGTGAGATCTCTGATTCTCTTTTATTATAGGTTACTATTCTCACTTACATGAAGACGTATATTTTTGTTATCTTAAGAGTTTGGAAGCCTGTGGCTGCTTGTATTTTTAGGCTTCCAATAGTCATGAGTGCCTGTCTCTTTACTGGGACTTAGATACCAATGGACATGTATCATCTCTGCTGCATGACAGTGCAAGCCTGTGGGTGTCTGTGCTTGAGATAGCCACAAGTGCCTGTCGTTATCCTTAGCACTCTGATGCCTGCACATTCAATTAACTCTGGAGCTAAAATGAAGACCTGTGCATTGAATGTTCATTTCCTTAAAGCAACGTTGAAGTCATGCAAAAACAAAATTACCAGACAACTCAAAGCCATAGTCAATTCTTAACCAGACTTTAAACTTTGCTAGAATTCAGCATTATTCTTCATTAGCCTATTTATGCTGACAGTTTTCATTAGGAAAGCTTGAAAGTAATGAATAGGAATCATTAGCTAGTAAGATTTATAATGTGCACTGCTTTTTTTTTTTTAGCAATGTTATTTATGTTTCATGCAACTGATTGTTTCTATTTCATAACTGGATCTCTGTTACTCGGTGCATTTTTGCACTCTAGGGATGTGGGGATTTCATGACAGGGACCTTGTGTTACGTAAAGCACTCTACACCATGATGAGAAGTGGAGCTGAAAGGGAAGCATTGAAGAGAAGATGGAGATGGCAACAGACACAACAGAATAAAGAGGTCTGTGTGGCCTAGAGAGTTTAAACCATTGTGTAACTGATATCATTTAGGGCAACATTTTTATTCCTACCTCTGAGGTTCTATGAAAAAGCTTTTGCTCTTACTGAATTCCTTGTGCATCTATTTTGCACATGTAGACAAATATTTCTGCATGAAAATCAGGCATGTAAAAGCAGATGAATGTTTACACCCACAAAGTTACATATGCATAGCTTTACACCTACAAAATCTAGGGCTGGTTTGGGGCCACCTGAATATTTGGGGCTCCAAATTTAAATATATTCTTTATAGAGGTGTTAAATGATTAAAAAATAATCACAATTGTAAGATTTAAAAAAAGTTTGGTTTTTTTACATAACTGCACTCAAAAACAAAACAATGTAAAACTTTAGAGCCTACAAATCGAAGAATGAAGGGACATACGAATGTTTAGCACATCTGGCACATAAATACTTTGCAACACCAGCTACAACAGTGCCATGCAAATGCCTGTTCTCACTTTCAGGTAACGTAAATAAGAAGCAGGCAGCATTATCTCCCGTAAATGTAAACAAACTTGTTTGTCTTATTAGCTGAACAAAAAATAGGACTGAGTGGACTTATGAGAGATAAATTGAAAAATACTAGTTCTTTTGTTTCTTTTTTACATTGCAAATATTTGTAATCAAAAATAATAATATAAAGTGAGCACTATACACTTTGTATTCTGTGTTGTAATTGATATCAATATATTTGAAAATTTCAACATCCAAAAATATTTATAATAAATTTAAATTGGTATTATATTATTGTTTAACAGTGCAATTAAAACTGCGATTAATTGTGACGATTCTTGTAATCTAGTTAATTTGTTTTGTGTTAATCGCATTCATTAACTGTGATTAATTGACAGCCCTAATTATCTACTGAAAATTACATTACAAAAAAATGAAGACTGTAGATTAAATCACAAAGGAAAAGAAAATGTCAGTTAAGGACCAAATCTCTATGCTGAGAAAATTGACCCAGATTTTGAAATATGTATTTTTAACTGTAATCCTCAAGTAGCCTAAAATTAGACACCTCACTTTTTTCCCCAAAAAATTTCATATCCAAATATGTGTTGGAAAAAGCTGTGTTTGAGGGCAAAGCCTTCCCCCATTGATATGGAGGACCAGCCTGCTGCAGATCCTCTAGCAATGGGGCCAGATATCTGGAGATCTCACATGGGCTCCACTATTGCAGAGAGTAGGGGTGATCAGCAGTGCAGTTTGCCAAGGAAGGAGTAGGGCCTGTGTTTTCTGCAACTATGCAGATCCACCAGCTGTTTTGCATTCATACCTATACAGCAGAGGCACAGAAACCATAGGGGCTACTGCAGTCTCTGATGCAGTGGTTGCTGTTGAGCAGCTCCGCTTTTATCCCCTTCCAAAGTTCCCATGGAGCCGTTTCACACCCAGTGCTCAAACCTTTCCAGCAGCACCCAACTTAGTTTCCCAGGCTGTGTGCAGGAGCAGGGTTTGCCCTTTTGTGCATGTCTCTGCTCACCTGATCACAGTGAGGGGGTTCAGCAATTCCTCCAACATAGTCATTACAAATGTGAAATCATGTGGCCATTTGCTTTGCAGGCAGCCAATTGTTGAACACAAAGGTAATTGGTTTTAGGATTTAGTTCTTGCCTTTATCTACACACACCCAAAATTTTTAAATAGAAAAGCCCTTTCATTTAAACAAAAAGTCATTCTGCCTGTGGTAAGGGGATACAGAATTCTTCTTTTATACCAGCTCATAGGGGAGCTGCTGGCATTGCTTCGCTATCTGGAAAGCAGAGGGAAGCAGAACTGGATCTCACCAGCACCAGTTCTAGTTAGGCTGTTGAAAGAAAATACTCAAATTTCTAGAGTTTTCTTGATTAACAGCACCTTTGGATAGCTTAGCTGCTGTTGTATTCAAAGCTGTGATGTGCTGTTCTGAGGTTCGTTCTTCTTTTCTCTCAGTGTGAGAATTTATGCTTCCATCAACGGCAAGACATAGTGCAGATGAATTAAATCAATAATTTTCCAAGTACTCCAGCATAAATGCTGGCTGTACACAGCTAACTGAACATGACCAAAAAGCTTTGGCTGGTAGTTGTGCTATTCATATATGTATTTTCCCTGCTTGCTGTTGGCAGCAGCACTAATGAGAGCAGCAGAACTGAATTACAGCACTAATAAGCCCTTCCTGACCCTGTCAATGGGAGACAGTTGAGCTGTCATTGGCTGGGCATTCTCTAGTCTGCCTGAAAACACAATGGACTGAGGTGCCTACCTGCCCTTTGTGCCTTTGGAAATCTCACCCTCCAATCTCCAGGGGAGTGGGACAGAAGGTATCACAAGTACTGCTGTCCCCGGCCTATCAAGGAAGGTCTGCAATGTAGAGCAAGGGGGAAAAAATTCAATAATTTAGTCACCATGTCGGTCGACCCAAAACTATTTGCAAATTTGTGTCAAGTTCATGAAATAGTTTTGACCAAACTGAAAAAAATATTAGTAATGCTGAAACAAAACATTTCATTTTGACCTGACAAAAAATTTCAGGCATTTTGACAAAAGCAAAGGAGGACTAAATTCACAAAATGTTGGTGGAGGGAAGAAATTGGTTTTGGTACTCTCCGGGGATGTGGGAGACCCAGGAGTCAACTCCCCCTCCCCCACCTCCTTTGTCTGATATGGAGAAAGAATTTGAACTTAAGTATCCTATGTTACAGGTGAGTGCCCCCTCCACTATGAGAGATTTTGGTATGTGGCTTTCGCAGTCTCTCCTGTTAAAGCTGTTCTATGTTGTATCAATTATTAAGTAGTCATTGGCGTGAGGACTTGAAGTTGGATTTCCTATACACTAGCTGAATTCCTTATCCACCAAGCTATAGAGTTACTCTCACCCGCTCAGTCTTTCATTGGCCCAGTGAGCATTCATTGTCATCATGAATTACTATGAATTTCCACTATGAGTGACAGTGAATAGTCATTGCGTCAGTAATAAGATCAAAGATCCTCAATGGCACCGGAACCTGAGAACCAAAATGGAAGGAATTTCACATGCATGTGAGATGACTGGATGCCCAGCTACCCAGTTAAACAATTGCATAGGGCACTTTTGCAGAAGCAAATTGAGAACCTCCAGCTGAAAATTTTATCCAAAATGTAGTAGCCGTCTTTGATCTGTTTTGATAATTTGGTGCTGTTTGATTTGAAAAAGTAATACTGTAATAACCCAGGGCAATTGCATGTCTTATTCAAATAGCACTATAAATGAAACACAACATATGTTAGTAGGACATGATGTCTACTATCTGATACTGGTGATATTTTTAACATCATATCCTGAAATATACTCTTCTCTCCCCTAGTCGGGTTTAGTTTATACAGAAGAAGAGTGGGAACGGGAATGGAATGAACTGCTTAAGCTGGCTTCAAGTGAACCTCGCACTCATTTTGGCAAAAATGGAGGCACTGGTGGTGGGTAAGTTGCCTTGTAACAGATTCTTATATCCTTTGCTTCTGTAGGATGGTTATACTAGCACATGCCCTAGAGTAGTACAAATAAATGAGGAATTTCGTGGGACATCATTCATCTAACTGTTGCATTTTTCATGTTGTATGCTAGAATACTTACTCTGTAATCGTGCCCATCATTTTATTGCAGCCTCCGAGTACAATGATTGATTCGAGCTGGTCAGATAATTCCAAGGTACCTGTCTCTGCAGCCATGCAGAAGAACCAGGGCTCCACGAGCCCCAGTTTCTTGCTCTCTGGAAGTAGTGTGGTGGCAGTAGAGTCCATAGCCAGGGAGATGGAGGGTGTGTGCCTTTCATCATTCAACAATGACTTCCCTGGGTTATTAAACACCAGCCAGAAAGATAGCCATTACTGGGACCTTGGACTTGATGCATGGAAAGTAGAGGTGGGTAGAAAATAAAAGATCTTCAGGACTCCATCAGAGAATCCCTCAATGTTGTTTTAGAAGGTGGTAAAGTGGTGCTCATTTGTCATCTTTTCACAACTCCTTATGTCAGATTCCTAATGATAAATTTGTTTTACAGCAATGGCTTGTCTAATAAGTGAGATTATATGACGGGTTTGCCTGTGATAGCAGGGAACTGGACTCAACCCAGGAGGTGTCTTCCAGTCCTATGTCTTATGTTCCTATGTTTGTCCATAATACTGTGCTGTCCAAAACAGGGCAAGGCCTTTGACTTGCACAGAACTTGAACTAAGTGAGATTTGGATGTGAGAGGTGCCAGCTGGTTCAACAGGTCATTAAAGGGTCTTGGTCCTATAGTGCCCTGCTGAGATGGCTGATCTGGGGGAAGTTAGCCAGCACTTATGTAGGTTACTTTCACCACAAGCAAGCGTAATCTCATCAAAACAGTGCATAGGAGGCTGTTAATAGGGGAATACATTCTAATATGAAAATACCATATCCCTGCCACTAGGATCAGAGCCAGAAGTCAGAGTTACAGAGGACCTGCAGAGTGAACTTCTTGGGGTTTTGGGAAGTGGGCTAGAGAGCCTCGTTTGGCTGCCTATTTGCTGATGGAAGGAGACTGAATTTAATCCTATAGTAGTAAATATGAAAGACATTTGAAATGAACTTGGGATGCCAATAAAGGATAAACCAGTGTCCAGTACTGGCACATTTCTTCTTGCAGATCTCTCTTGCTTTGTAGCTCACAGGCAGCAAACCTTCTAAGAGCATTGTTGGTAGTGTACAATGGTCATTAACTGTCAACAGTGTCTACTTTTAGAACATTGCTTTTCTTCTAATACAGTCTATTTGGAAAGGAAATACCGAAATCAGACTGAACTTTCAGCTGTCCAAATGACATACAGATATTTTACATGTTCAGATAAGCAATGAACAATAGATTTTTTGGACATTAAATTTGTGTGTATTCTATACAATGCATGTCAGGCTAAATCCTTCCCTCATTTATACCTGTGCAAACTCCCAGTGCAGTGAACTGGGTTGCAGAGAATTTAACTCAATACAGCCATGTGCTATCACCAGGGCCGGCTCTAGGATTTTTGCCGCCCAAAGCAAAAACAATTTTGGCCGCCCCCTCCACCCCCCGTTTTTTAATTACCCCCCCCCCCGGCCCCGCCTCAACTCCGCCCCTTCCCCAAATCCCCAGCCCTGCCTCCTCCCCCCCAGGCTTGAGAGACTGGGAGGGAGGGGGAGCAGCGGCGCGTGAAACAGCTGTTTCTCGCACCGCGGCCACTCGGAATCTCCCCCCCCCCCTCCCGTGTGAGAGCCTGGGAGGGAGGGGGAGACTCCGAGTGGCCGCGGCGCGGGCGCCGCTTCTCCCCCTCCCTCCCAGGCTCTCAAGCCTGGGAGGGAGGGTGAGTAGCGGCGCGCGAGCGGCAGCGGAGGTGAGCTAGGGCGGCCGGGGCACATTTTTAGGGGCGGCATTCTGGCGCCAGCCATGCCGCCCCTAAAAATGTGCCGCCCCAAGCACCAGGTTGTTTTGCTGGTGCCTAGAGCCGGCCCTGGCTATCACAAATGAAGCAAAGTATTATTACAGAGCATGACACACTTTTAAAAATCTAATTATGTTCTGAAGGCAGTTGGGTGGCACAGGATATAAGCCAGGGGCAGAATTTGGCCCTACAGAGAAAAAGTCAGTTGTGACATTACCACAAAACATATTCCAAAGTACCCAGATTTTGGGGGTTTTTTTGGAAGAACAAAAGGATTTTTTTTGTGTGTATATAAGAAAATACACTACAATAGATAGTTGTAGTCTCATAAGGCCTTTTGAAATCTACACACTACTTGAACTTTGATTCCATGTTGTTGTGCATTGTGTTACCAAAAGCCCTCAATGAAAATAATGAACCTTTATATTGCAGAGCTTGGTATAGTTTATTTTTTTCTGTCTTTGTAAACTGTTATGATTCGTCTATAATATAAATAATATTATCAAGCCAGAAAATTATTTAAATATAGTTTTCTCAAATTGAAATTGATTCGCTCTTTGTTCTGTTGAAGTTAACAGTGGGATTGTTGCTAGAGAGGTCACATCAGAGCATACACATCAATTTCTAAGGCCTTATATGATCTTTCTTACCTGATTTCCAAGTCTGTTCCTCTGGATTCGTTCTGCAAGAATGTGGTAGATTGCAGTTACTTTGATTAAACTCTGGAGGTTGTAGAATGAAACTGTGTAATGTCAGATGGGTAGTTATTGGGAAATATTTTCATTACAAGGCAATGAAAGTGGGTACAGCCCTCACACTTTGGCTCCCTGGGTGGTCATCTCTGTCAATATAATTGTGTACATTTTAATTAAATTAGCATATTGGAGCATACTATGGTACTTGATGAGGTTTAGGGTAAGACCAATTTCTGTGTAACTTACTACGAGCATGTATTTAATTTGAAGTATAAAGAGGTCTCCGTAAAAATGGAAAGAATAAATTATATTTTTAGACATTACTTAAGGAAATAAAACCATATTGTTTGTATAATAATTAAATATCCTTACTGCACAAATTTAATTGGATTCCTTATAGCTTTAGGACTTAACATGAAATAGCACTGAACGCTTAATCAAAGTGCACTTGTTCATGAAGTGCAGTATAGTTTTGTTTGCAATAGACCGGCCCTGAGAATACAAGAACTTTAATTTTCATACCTGAATAGGGGGGTGTTATAACTAAAGTCATTTATTCTCTATTCATTCAGTGCATTCTTTTCTCTAGTTGCTGTTTCCCCTGGAGAAAATTGCATGTTATAAGTAATTAGACAAAGTGGAGGCGTAAACCACAGTAAGGATAAAATATCTTTAGAAAAAGTGTTCCTACTCTCCACTGTGCTGAAGCAGAATATGACATTTTCTCAGCATTTTTAACCTTTAGATGTCAGGACTAAGGATTTCCCTGACACAACATTTTTATTTTTATTTTTTGCAAAATGTTTACTGACCATAGTGTGTATATATATATTTGTCCTTATATATAGAAGATAACAAAGAATAATTTTGCTCTTTTGTCTTCTGTGTTTCCTCTAAATCTGCCACAGTCTTTTAAAATGTAGTTCAGTACACATTTCTACTACATGCAGGTACTCAACACCAGTTCCCACAATCTCATTTTGTCCATCTCATGCTGTATGTATCTCATGGAGCACACAGCTCCAATGTATTCGGTTAGAGATGTGCTGAAATGGTGGTGGTTGTATTTAACAGAGACACACACCCCTTTTAAAAATTCTCTTTTCAGTAAGCTTCACCTCCCTCAAGTTTTTTTTAAAAGAAGTCTAATACCATTTGTTAAATCAAATATAATTTAGTTCAAATTGTTGTTAAATAGTGACATGTACTAGGCTTTTCTCTTGTTGGGGATGGGAGAGTAGCAATAGGAAATGGTCAACAAATCAGATGTGAATTACAATCCTAATATACACATTAAAAGAATAGTGAAGACTAACCAAAACTAGCTGAAGAAATTAACCTGTAAAAGTGTATAATTTTAGTACTCACTCTAACCATTCCATTGCAAGGAATATTGACTGAATAAATGATTCTTTTCAATGTACCATACCAAAAATTACTTCTTAAACTAATGCATCATCTAAAAGGGAAAAGAACTCTTCAAAGAATAATATTTTTGTCTGACAGTGTAGTGTACTTACCAGTTATTTACTGTCCTCAAATAATGTGCAAATCAGCCTTTGAATTATAGATGAGGTAATCTCCTTTGGTGCCAGAACTAACTAAAGCATCAGAAGTCACGTACCCATCAAAAGAAAACCTCAGTAACAAATGTGTTTTGATTTGTCACCACATCCACCTGTGAGTTAGTTGTATTTATTTATTTGTTGTGAGTCAAATGCATTATAAGAAATCTGCAATTGTCTGTGAACCTCCAGAGGTTCTTTGAGAATCTTCTTTTTGTCAGAGCAGATGCTGAGGAATTGAAGTCACTGAGCAGGAAGAAGATAAAGAGAATCGAGGAAAAGCTATGACTTGAGTTCTTGCCTCCTACACAATGAATCCTGCAGCCAGTTTAAATAGGATAATTAACCATGAAACAGTCATTGTTTCAGAAGTGATTTGTACACGTTGTCCTAAGTGGTCCCAAAAGGAATCTCAGATCATCAAAATCGTTTAACCAAAAGCAATAGGACTGAATGGAAGATCCAAAAGGGAACTGCTTCAGTTTGAGAAAAGGTTCTTACATTTTTTATTTTATTTTTAAAAAGGCCCTCACTCCCCTTCTCTCTCCCCAGCCCCCACCTCCACCTAGGTGCCCCTTCATAGATAGTTTTCAGTTAAAGGGCTTTAGTGACTAATTGGATTGTTATTATGACAGTTCCTTCACGGACAGATACTGGGGCCAGCCAAACGCTTGTGATGTGATTACATTTTCATACCTTGCTTCTTGCAAAGGGATGAGAAGATAACCTGGGAGAAGTGTAATGATTTCTTTTAACATCTTCGTCTTTCCATGACTCAAGTA